ATTCACAAGAAAGGTAGTAGGGAGAAGTCGGGCAACTATAGGCCAGTAAGCCTTACTTCAGTAGTGTGGAAAGTAATGCAAACCATATTAAAAGAGAGGATTGTCCTAAACATCTAAAATCACATGGATTTCAAGATCTTATACAACATATGTTTACTTAATGGGAGATCATGCCAAACTAATCTTATTGATTTTTTTGGTTGGGTAACTAAAATAATAGATCGGGGTGGTGCAGTAGACATTGCTTACCTAGATTTCAGTAAGGCTTTTGACACTGTTCCACATAGCAGGGTCATAAATAAACTGCAATCTTTAAGTTTGGATTCCAATATTGTTGAATGGGTTAGGCAGTGGCTAAATGACAGGAAACAGAGAGTTGTTTTCAACGGAGTATATTCGAAGCATGGGCTTATCACCAGTGGGCTACCTCAGGGATCTGTACTTGGACCCATTTTCTTTAATATTTTTATGATATTGCAGAAGGTATTGATGGAAAAGTATGTATTTTTGCTGATGACACTAAAATTTGCAACAGGGTTGATATTAATAGAAACATAGAAACATAGAATGTGATGGCAGATAAGAACCATTTGGCCCATCTAGTCTGACCAATTTTCTAAATACTTTGATTAGTCCCTGGCCTTATCTTATAGTTAGGATAGCTTTATGCCTATCCCACGCATGCTTAAACTCCATTACTGTGTTAACCTCTACCACTTCTGCTATAAGGCTACTCCATGCATTCACTACCCTCTCAGTAAAGTAATACATCCTGATATTATTTTTAAATCTTTGCCCCTCTAATTTGTCCTCTTGTTGTGGTAGTTTTTCTTCTTTTAAATATAGTCTCTTCCTTTACTGTGTTGATTCCCTTTATGTATTTAAATGTTTCTATCATATCCCCCCGTCTCATCTTTCCTCAAAGCTGTCACGATTCGGGGAACCTAACACGCCAACACACACACACACAAAGTGCCGTACCGGACCTTAAAGTGGCCGGGCTAAGCACACAAAGAATAGTCAGGAGACAAGCCGAGTAAGGGGAACCAGAAGACAGAATAATGATAGACAAGCCGAGGTCAAAGGGTAGGAGAAAGTCACAAAGTCGGATAAACAAGCCAGAGAGTACGTAACCAGAAACACAAGTTCAGAAGTAATACTAGCAAGTAAAGACCACAACAGGGCGGAGAGGAACAGGAAAGGTAAGTATATAAATCCATAGGTTAATTCTGATTGGATAATTTCCAATCAGAATTAACAATCACACGTGGGAGATATCTAAACCTCCCACTGTGATTGAGGCACTGTGCCTTTAACGCCGGGTCAGGTGACTGACCCCGACGTTTGTTAAAACGGGTGGTCTCCCAGCATGCAGCGTCATGCATGCTGCCGCTGGGGGACACAGAGGAAGACGCGGGCGGCATCCGTGGCTGGGAGGATGCCGCCCGCTGAGCACACGCCAGGAAGAGGACCGCGGACGGCTGGAGGGTGAGTGCCGCAAGCGGACTGCAACCTCCCCTCGCAGCCGCCCACGGGACCCTGACAAAAGCTATATATGTTAAGTTCCTTTAACCTTTCCTTGTACGTTTTATCCTGCACAGTAAAGGAGTTTAAGCATGCATGGGCTAGGTATAAGGCTATCCTAGCTATAAGATAAGGCCAGGGACTAATTAAAGTATTAAGAAAATTGGTAGATGAGCCGAATGGTTCTTATGTGCCGTCACATTCTATGTTTCTATGTTTCTATGACCAAACGTTATTCTATTGTTTCTGACAAGTATTAACTTAAATCCAGTTATGTGCAGATCATTGCATGTAGTAAACTGCCTATTATAGTTGATACATCTTTGTATTCACAAGATTACTGTGATCATCATGATCTAGCCTTTGTTCCACATGGTGTTGATCTTGGTTTACAATATGTCATATCAAACTTCTCCATAATCTTTGATATGTATCTCTCTTGGTTCATCTTTACATGACCAACTCTGTTTAATTCTTCCTAGCACTTTAATCTTGAATGTGGATGTAAGCATTTCTTATACATCCTTGAGAATTATTACTACTGGCACCTATAATGAGATCATGTATCCAAATTATGAGAATCACTTTTTCAATTTCTTACTATTTAGTGTACATGCAATGGTCTGCAAGGATTCTATATGAACTTATTTTCACTCAGATGGTCATGTAGTACTTTGTTCCAATTTTTACCTAACTACTTGAAACTGTATAATGACTTGTTCAGCTTGAGAACTTATGATCTTATAAACCTCTGACAGTTCTACGTATAATTCTCAATCAATTGGAGCATGTAAACAGACTTTTTTCAACATCTATTAGATAAATAGTAAGCCATATTGTGCTGCTGCATTAATTCAATGCATTCCTATGGGCAAGTTTTGATTTGTGCACTCTGTGAGGAGTATTGGATTGGACATTGGCAGAGGAGGTCATGCCTTCTTCCAAGATTTTCTGGAGATAGGAGAGCTAAGCAGGATAGAATGGGCCTTGACACTGGAAAAAAGCTAAGTAAATTTTTTTTTTTTTCTTACACACTGGGGGAAGAGGGACCTTAAAATGCATAGGTACAGGGGCACTAAAGTCTTAGGAAGATAGATATACAGGTTTGTATTCCTAACGCTTCAATGTTCTGTTAATGAATTAATGTTTGTAGAGTATATTTTTTTCGTAATCAGCTCTCTTTAGTTGATTAAAACCTCTAGCAACATATTTGGCATTATATGTTTCTGATCCATCAGTTTTGTTATTTATTGCACATACCCATTAACTCCCAACCCCACCCCCACTGAAAATTTACCTTCTTGCAAAGTAGGAAAAGTGAATGTGTCATTCTTTCTTAGTGAATCAGTTTAATCTTTCAAAACATTAAGCCATAATTGTGTTCAAGGTGAGTTTGTCATGCCACCTTCAAAGGATCAATCACCATGTAAAAATAATACATTTTTGTTAATACATGGTCATTACTTAATAAATCTGAAACAGTCTTCTAAGTAATGAGAAACTTTTTTTTCTGTTAGGGAGATTTGTACCATGATCATTCTCCGTTTGACCTTTCTCCCTT